ACTGTCACTAGAACTAACACAAGACCTAGAACTAGAATAATTCGGGTTTAGCAGTCTTGTGAGACGTGCGGTTAAGCCCGAATGTTTCTAGTTCTCGATCTAGTGTTAGTTCTAGTTTTACACTAGCACTATTACTAGAACTAATACAAGACCGAGAACTAGAAACATTCGGGTTTAGCCGCACGTCTCTCAAGACGGCTAAACTCGAATGATTCTAGTTCTCGGTCTAGTGTTGGTTCTAGTTTTACACTAGCACTATTACTAGAACTAATACAAGACTTAGAACTAGAATCATTCGGGTTTAGCCGTCTTGACAGACGTGCAGCTAAACCCGAATGTTTCTAGTTCTCGGTTTAGTGTTAGTTCTAGTTTTACACTAGCACTATTATTAGAACTAATACAAGACCTAGAACTAGAATCATTCGGGTTTAGCCGTCTTGACAGACGTGCAGCTAAACCCGAATGTTTCTAGTTCTTGGTCTAGTGTCAGTTCTAATTTTACACTAGAACTAGAATCATTCAGGTTTAGCCATCTTGAGAGACGTGCAGCTAAACCCGAATGTTTCTAGTTCTCCATCTAGCATTAGTTCTAGTTTTACGCTAGTACTGTCACTAGAACTAACACAAGACCTAGAACTAGAATCATTCGGGTTTAGCCGTCTTGAGAGACGTGCAGCTAAACCCGAATGTTTCTAGTTCTNCAAAACCTAGACCTAGAATCATTCGGGTTTAGCCATACTGAGAGACGTACGGCTAAACCCAAATGTTTTTAGGCGGCCGACAACATCGCTAATTTTTCTAGTGTAATTTTTGCTTAAAACTGACCAATAGCAACCGTTCTTTTTGCCGCTTCAATTTGAAAACACTCCTCCGAATTAAAAAATAGAGTATAGAAAGAATAATAATTGATTAAATTTATTTATTTTCTGTCATTAGCGTTGAAACAATGTAAAATGCAAATGCCAAATAGTGTAAGCCCAAGACAAAAAGAACGATGGAAACAAGAAGTGGCTGCAATGCAAAAATTAAAATGCGATTATATCGTGGGTTTTAAAGAGCTCCCTGATATGTTATTGATGGAACTTAATAAATATAATCCATCTAAGCTTCCCTTGTTACCAATGGAATATTGCTCAAAAGGAAATTTGAGGAATTATTTGAGAGAATGGGAAAGCCGCCGAGGTTTATCTGAAACAACTACAAGAACGATTTTATCTGATATTTGTGATGGTATTTCGTATTTACACAGCTGTGGTATCACGCATCGCGATATTAAACCTGAAAATATAGTTATGCAACACTCTGATGAAAGACTCGAAAAAATTATTTATAAAATTATAGATCTGGGTTACGCAAAAGAATTGGGTAATACTCTAAATAGTTTAGTTGGGACCTTACCGTATTTAGCCCCCGAAATTTTTCAACAAGATAAATACACAAAAACTGTTGATTATTGGTCTTTTGGGTTAACTTGTTACGAAATAATTACTGGTGAATTACCTTTTTTACCACGTTGGGAACCTGTTCGAAGGTATTCTTTAAAAAAAAATTCGAAATTTAAAATAAAATTTATAATAAATATTTTTTTCAGATTCATTCATATAAAAGAAAAAAAGGAAGATGATATTTGTATTTTTACAATAAAGGATAAAGTTGTTTTTTCAAAAGAAATTCCAAGAAAACTCTGGATTTCGACATGTTTTAAGAAAAACATCGAAAACTGGCTGAGACCTGTTCTCCAATTTGATGGTAACAAAAGGGGCTCATACAAAAATATCACAGTCAACGTTTTGTCACAAATGAAAGAAATTTTGTTGAAGAAAATTGTTAAAATATTATTTGTTTATGATTTAACTATATACAGTTATGAAATCACCGAATTTTCGACATTTAGAGATTTAAAGGAACTTGTTACTTCTAAAGGTTTTTTACATAATCAATTAGTTATCTTATGCGACAACCAAACGGATTTTTATAATGATGATGATAAGATTATGGAATCCATTGAAAATGTAAATTTATTAGTTTTTTTAGTGTTCTCTAGATAATCAATATATTGTGGGGAACTTAGAAGTGGAAAAACTATTTATACATTAATTGGACCACTTTATATTTTCGGTTTCATCTCTCTAAAAATATAAGACTTGTTAGAATAGACAGGCTCAAACTATTGAAAATTGTTTGATGCCTGTGCGTTACGTTTTACGATTATACAGGTGTTTCTGTAAGTCGTGGCATAAATTTAATCACTAAAACTAGATAAAAATGATTAAGATTCGTGTAAAAATGTTTGAAGAAAATAATCTAGAGTTTGATTTTGTACTTTTTAAACTGGTTTTTATTTTAAATAGAATTTAAGTCTAACCAGTTTCGGCCCTTGACCATCTTCAGACACTCTACAAATTAACATCTCTCATCTTATCCATTTTACAAACAAGATTCTTAATATTTCTTTTTGTTTTGTTAAAAAAGATCACATATCAAAGTCAAAATCACATTATTATTTACTAATTTACAAAATTAAAGTTTAAAAAGTTGTAAAATGAAATTTAATGCTATTTTTTAACAATAGAAATATTAAGAAACTAAGAAAAAATTCAAGAATCATCTTGTGGCTTAGAAATGACCCAAAAAACACGTTAAAAATAAAAAGAAAGTGCGGAAAAGTGACTAATACTAGATAACTTCAGTTATAAAACTTCTATTATATGATAACTAACTTCAGGTTTAAAATGTCAACCTCAATTTTGACATATTTGCAATCTTCATTAAAAAT